AGTGTGAAATGTGATTTCAGATCTGAAAGCTCTGAAAGAAAATTCAACTTAATTTCATTTGTCTACAATTTGATGATGGAATGTCCTAAAAAAAATTATAACATAACCAAAGTAAAGCGCGCGCTCTGATTGGTCAATTTAGCGTCCCCCATTTGCCCATGGGTGTACGCTGCTGACGTGAGCAAATGCAAAGACTATTTTTCCGCGCGCGCTTGTTTTTTCTGGTCACGTAAGATTTGTTAAATAAAAGGGAACTCTTTAGCTACAATGTATCAATGTTATGTTATAAAACAAATGGTAAACACCACAGCGTACACTATTGAGTTATGGATGCACTTGGGAGGTTTGCTAAGCACTCAAGAAGCTAGAGTCGCTCTCGGCTATCGCATCGAGCGACTCTTACGCTTCTTTCGTGCTTAGCAACCTCCCGCGTGCATCCATAACTCAATAGTGTACGCTGTGGTGTTTACCATTTGTTAATTTCAAATAGAGAACACAACTTTTCAAAGGTTAGCAGCTGCAAAACAATTTAATGAAAATCATTCTTATCCCTCTTGGGTGTTGAAATATTTAGAACAAAAATATCGGAAAATTTTAAGATACATGTAGAAAAGTTATAATTGCTGCTCATACCAGTTAATTTTCCGTTTCAGTGAAAAAAACATGGAATTAATAGTTATGGGCTGAAGAATATGCGATCAAAAGTTGGATTGTTTTGAATACCTAAGGCTTATGCGACCGATAACATGCTGTAGGGCAATATCTCGGCATCTCATCAATCCCATAATTTTAAGATGCTAATGCCGTGCGATATATTTCGAAAACTAAACGCCAAAATACGATAAAATAAATTCATTTAGTGGAATTATAAATCCCTTATTCAATGGTTTAAGGGTCGAGGCCGATAACAAGAAACAAGGATAAATGCAAGCAGCTCGTGTGACGACGAAGTGCAGAGTTTGATCGGTTGAAAAAAATCACTCTACCTAGATTCTTGTTATCATTGAGAAATACTTATCCGGTGGCTGCTGCGTATACAGCATGGAGGAAATTCCGAGTAAGCGATCAGTAGAAATGGAACAAGAGAAATTGGAATCTATCTGGTTACAATTAAGATCGCAATCACCCCCGCAAAAAATTGCATAATTATTCTGGCAGTTGTTTATCATTCAACCGCTAACGGTGAATAGGAAAATGTTACTCTTCGGGATTATATCCAAAATACAATGGATACGTATCTGTCGAAACATAAAGAGGAAAACCGGCTTCAACCGGTTTGCGCTCTGACTATATTTCTTGACCTAATCACCTGAAGTAGCAAGTTCAATTCAACACAAGAGACTCCGGGATACTTGAATGATTTTTCACTGATAGACCCCACACCTTCGATCCTCAGAGGATACCGAAGCTTGGCTCATCGGAACACTACACCGTCCTAGTGTGCTCAACTGTTAAACTTCCACCTTGACATGATTCTG